AGATGGTTTTTTAAATATTTTAACAACAATCTAAAAATAGAAAACACTCAACAAATGTGTTACCCAAAAACCGTGTTAAAAAGTTCAGTTCATACCCTTTTTAGTTTTTACCCTAATGAGTTATTTTGTAACAAGGTTTGTTAAAAATATGATATAACCCTAACAATACTTGTTATATTCTTGATAGTACGTAGAAGATTTCTTGTTATATGTTTTGTTATTTTAACTACAAACGGTACATGTTTTATAACAGACCATGTTACGAATAATTTTAAATCTCAGTAACACAGTGTGTATTATTTCTGATACTTCCTTCTGGTCGGGAATAGTGACAAGACTCGGGTAGTGATCACCGCGCCGTTGTGCATTTCTATACTATACCTATATATCAAATCAAAAATATTGTTTATGTTCAAAGATTTCACATAATCCTTTTCCCTTTGTCTTTCTCCTTTTCCATTCCCTCTTCTCTTTTCAGAAAGCGAGTAATGGTGCAATAGCCATAAGTCATAAAAGGCTAGGACAAGAGTTAGTGCTCATGTCCCAACCGTTTGAAGAAAATGGAGCATCACTTAACCTTTCTAGCATTGATGCTTCCAACGACCAACCAATCATATCATTACCAAAATAGGAACGTACGGTACGGGATGTCCTCGTTTCATCCATTTATTGGATTCTGAAGCATCGTGTTTAAATGTTCGATTTAAACAGGCCCGATGTTTTCTGAATCATCTTGCCCCTTAAATTCTGCAAAGTAGGCCTGGCTGTTTTGATATGTGTGACGCATCTTCGATGTGAAACATATTCAAAATAGACAAAAAAAATTATGTAGGTATAGATGTAGGATTAGATTTCAGGGAAATTGCGGGACATTTTGAGATTTCGGGAAATTTTCAAGTAGGTTAAATGTAGCAGTTTTGGTTAAACGTTTGTATGTTGATGTTTTACAATTATGGTACATGATTATATCATAGACCATAATTGGATCGCACCATATCAGGAACATTTAACCATAACTGGTATATCCATAATTTTTTTTTTTTTAAGCGATTAGAAAACTTCATACAACTTGTGAGAGTCCCACCGAGTGGTTATCAATGAAATTTAGGGATTCCTAGAACTGTTCTATGTTTAGGGCAGCAGATATCTATTTGCTAAGGGCCGCTAAGGTGAAGTGGTCATACACTTAAAAAATGTCGTACAAGAAATGAGTAATGACAAGGGCTCGTGGAATGCCGTCAACAGAATATTTAGTAACACAAATATTGAAAAAGCTGGAGCTAAGGTGAAGAGAAGATCAGCGATCTTGTTGAAGCAAATAATAACATAAGATGATAGAAATTTGGCCTCTACCCAAGGTTATGGCAAAAACAAGAAGCTGCCTTGGATGAAAATCTTTCACGTTGGGATCCTTCAGTTTTTTTCAAATCACTTGAAATTGTATCGAAAATAAAGGGCGAACACGAAATTATTGCGACACCGAAAATGTCATGCCAATTTTCTTATAATGTTTACAATCAAACCAAAATTTTAGGGTAGTTTTATACATATATTTACTTCAAAAATCAAAAGAAAAGTTAATCGATAGAGCCTTGAGTGTAAAATTGAACGCATTTTCGCTTGATGCCCTCCATCAAAGTCTTTACAGTGTCATCCGGTACCAGTTTCTCAGTTTTTTTCCATTTTCTTAACATGTCCTTCTCGTCTTTGACTGTCTTCTTGCTCTTCCGAAGTTCCCGCTTCATTATTGCCCAGTACTGCTCCACCGGGCGCAGCTCCGGACAGTTTGGCGGATTCATGTCCTTTGGAACAAAATGGACAGAATTGGCCTCATACCACTCCAGGACACTTTTAGAATAGTGGCATGATGTCAAATCTGGCCAAAATAGCGGAGCTTCGTCGTGCTGCTGCAAGAACGGCAAAAGGCGCTTCTCGAGGCACTCAGATTTGTAGATCTCGCCATTTACTGTGCCCTTTGTCACGAAAGGCTCAATCCTCAGTCCGCAAGAGCAGATGGCCTGCCAAATGAGATATTTGGAGGCGAACTTCGACATTTTCTTCTTCTTAAATTTGTCGTCCACATCGAACTTGCTCTTGCCGGTGAAAAACTCCAACCCCGGAATTTGCTTAAAATCGGCTTTTATATACGTTTCGTCGTCCATCACACAGCAGCCATATTTTGTCAGCATCTTCTCGTAGAGCTTCCGTGCCCGAGTTTTAGCCGTCGATTGTTGCCGCTCATCGCGGTTTGGGAAGTTCTGTACCTTGTATGTATGTAGTCCAGCTCTCTTCTTTGCATTCTGGACGTAGCTCTGCGACATGCCGATCTTTTTAGCCAAATCACGGCTTGAGACGTTGGGATTTGCTTTAATCATCCGCTTCACCTTTCCCTCCGTCTTTTTGTTCTCCGGTCCCGGTTTTCTTCCAGCTCCTTTGCCGTGGTCCAACGTCAACCGCTCCTGGAACCGCTGCAATACTCTGGAAACGGTTGAATGGTGAATGTTCAACATTTTTCCCAACTGCCGGTGCGACAGGTCAGGAGATTCCAGGTGTTTGGAAAGAATTTGTTCTCTCAACTCGCGTTGGTTCACCTCGATTTTTGTTGAATCGAAAAACACGACTTCGAGTTTGACAGCATGTACACAATACACATCAATGAGAAAGTGTGCAAAACAGAGTTACATTTTACTCGTGTGTGCAAAAATGTGCTGCCAAGACTCTCAACAACCCGTCTCCCGTCGCAACAAAAACAACATGTGACGTTCTCGCTAGAGATACGCGAGAATAAGATACGAGCGAGAAACAAATGCGACACCCAAGAATCTTGGCGTGCGCGAGGCTCACGCTGATCTCATGTGCCTCATCTCATGTGCTACGATTCATGCTAGAACTGCAGAGCTCGAAGTTCTAGAAGGTGTAGGTAAGCGAAATACAGGCCATAGTTACATTTTCCTCGTGTGTACAAAAATGTGCAAGCGAGCCTCCCAACGAATCGTCTCCCATCGCAACGAAAACAAAACTAACGTGCGCGAGGCTCGCGCTGGTTTCAGTTGGTCCAGTTTTGTGAAATCGCTGGTAGAAAGTCACGCCAAAACTGCTTGATAAAGTGGTCAATTGGTTGGAAGACAACCGAGCAATTGCAGTGGGTGGACGGCACCACTATTCGGGGGATTCCTACTCAAGTTTTCTTTCATTAGTTAATGAGTAAAACGAAGAATATTTTCCTTTTTTAATGATTTTTTTTTAATCAAATTCTAAGGACCATAAGGTTTATGTTAGCTTGATGTAAAATAAAAGAAAATTATAGAATTTAAAGGCTCTAACAAATTATTTCAAATGTCATTGTAGTCAACCTTTTTCAGCAATTCGCTGTTTAGTCGAATCAAAAGAATATCAGCCAAGGTCTGCTCATCAAGCAAAGATCGTTGTTTGGTCAATATCAGAGCTAGAGCACTAAATGATCTCTCTACGCTCACTTGCGTACAAGGGATTCCCAGAAAAGCAGAAGCCAATCGGTAAAGCTCCGGTTTCGAAGTTTTCATCTTGAACCAATGGTCCAGTATGGTTTCCGGTTCCGATCCTGTGGTGTTGAGCTTCAAGCGTGGCATACATGCTAATTTCGCCAGTTCATCGCAAATGTTAGCATCTAGAGCTGTATTATTTGTTTCGTCAAGAGATGCCAAATATGCTTCAAAAGAATCGCCGTTTACCGTTTTCTCAATGCTTTCAGGTTGACTACTGTTTGGGTTGAAAACAACACGCATGTTTTCCCAAACATCATTTAAAAAGTCCTTAAAGTTTAATAAAATCACAAGTACATGTTAGCTGAAGTTTCAAAAACCGAAAAAAAATGTTTACTCACCATTGCGATTTCCTTTTGATCCTTAGTCATAAATGGCGTGTTCCGAAAATTGATCCGCTGATCAAGATATATCGCTGCCAGGAATGAAGGGTTGTCCATAAGTTTCACTCGTCGGTCATCCATTTTGCTGGTGAGTGTTAACGCCATATCATCTTTGGAACTCTTGAGATCAAATGTGCATTTCTCCCATGTTAAGAAAAAATCACCAAAAGTAATTTGAGAGCCCTGCAATCTCGTAGTTGCTTCACCTACAGGTCGAAAGACTGCCGAAATGCGCTGGATAAACTCCCACAAATCAATGTCGATGATCATTTCCTCGACTCCTTCCGTCAACGTACAAATGAAGTCCTTCACCTCCAACCATCATATAGGTGCTATTCCACCTAGTCAAGCAGTCCAGCTTTGGCTTCTTTTTATTGCTGACCTCAAACATCCTTTTGTAGGGTAGTTTTCTCAGCTTTTTCACAGCACTTCGAGTTTTTGAAAGTTGATGTTTCAATTCTACTGCTTTTATAGTGTCGTTAACTGCCAGCAGCAAAGTGTGTGCCGCACAGCGAACTCCTTGCAAAATTGGATCTATGAGTTCCATCCTTTTTTCCATTCTCACGTCTTCGTCATCAGACACTGCATCCGAAATTCTTGGACGAGTGGTGTGTCCTTCAGCACAAAGCAACGCATCAAAATCGTTGAGGGCCTCTTGTTGTGTCATTTTGAGACGGTTTACTGTGGCAAGAATATTGTTCGCATTGTCGGATGTCACCGTTAAGATGCGTCGAATGTCAATTCCGTATGGGTGCAGAATTTTTAAAATTTCTGTGGTCAAGTTAACAGCTGTGTGATTAACGTGTAATTCGATGACGCCAAGCGTTTTGATAATAATGTAATTATTTTTCACATACTGGATGTTGACGCATATGAAATCCCGATCCATTCTGGACGCCAGATCGACTTTAACGCACACAAACATACTGTCGATTTCCGAAACAATAATCTTTTGAATTTACTCGCAGACACTCCTCAGAAACGGTTTAATTGAATTCGGATTCAAGTGCTGCGCCGTCTTTAGCCCATCTTCAATGGGTCGGATGATTCGTTGAAACGCTGGATATCGTAACACATTCAGAGGAAACCCATTTACCGTAACCAGTTCAATTAATGAGGTGGTCAGCGTCTTAGCATTCAGTCGTACCTCAATTTTCTGAATTTTCCTGGAGCTCTCTCCTTCATCGTCATCTTTATCCAACAGACCATGTTGTCGTGAAAGTTCCTTGTACATGGATCGGTAGTGGCGGTAATAGCTGAACTTGCGTAAATCCGTAATTTTCCTCTCACACTGCAAACGAATACAATAGTTATTTTAGAAATGTTTATCCATTAGCTTTTTCAATTCTTTACCTGTAAACAAAAAGCTTCTCTAACCAAGTAGTTGATGCGAAAAAGATCTTCATCCTTGAGTGATATCTTTTGGCTCATCTTTTGCAGTACAATCATAAGCAAGATTCACGGAACTCAACAAAAAACCGATTCTACTTAATTAAACTGTCAATTAACACAGCAGAACACAACGAGAATGACTTGATAAACAGTTTTCTTTTGTTTGTTTGTTTGTTTGTTGTCACCAAATTTCTACCGACCCCCATATCAGCTATGCACGCAGGACGTAGGTACTATGCTGCTCTCGCTCGATCTCGCCGAGCTGGGCTCATTAGACGCAGCACATGTGACACGAATGAGACACGAAGGAACATAAAAGGGACGCGAAATAATATGCCTCGAAATGTACCAGGCACCTACGATGTGGTGGACAGCGCGTCTCCAGCACGCGGGGTGGAAGCACGTGTACATTAACTCTGGTGCAAAATTTGGTTGATTTTTACCCAATGGTAAAAAAGTTATGCCCTGTTGAATGTGTCGCAATAATTTCGTGTTCGCCCTTTATTATAGGAATGACCTTAATCTGGCTTACTTTTTTGTAAAGTAAAATGACAAAAAGTCACAATTTTCAAATCATTATTATCTATCAAAACCATTTTGAATGCACTCTGAATTCAGCCTTTTTAAAACTCTCAAATTTTTCCACTTATATTCTAGGACACTTTTTCGTTCCCCAAGTTTTCACCGCCTTTCTGAGTTCCACTGCGACTACCAACTCTACTGGGTCGATTATCCAGAAAAGCAATCTCCATCGGATGCATTTTCTTCCCAATTCCTGCCTTCCCGTTTGCCCGCATCCCTCAGCGAATGAGTAAACAAAGTATGCATCCTCCAGATTTCTGGCAGTTCACAGAATTGTCGTACAACAATGTCTTTGCCTATTTTGGAAATTGGTGCCACTGTTTCTCGAGCTAGTAAGCAAGCAATCGCTTTTCCTCCCCGCTGCTGCTGGCTAGGGCAGTGGGGCTTCCGTATTTATGGCCATGGTGTGATTTATGCCTTTGACTTGACTGGTTCCTTCTCGGGGTCCGGTCCCGGAGGCACGCGAAATCGGAACTCGGCTGGTCGTCGGAAAAACGGGAAAACGTGCTACTCGCTGCAAAGAAAACGGTCAACAAGCATAAATCCTCGAATCCAGGAGCAAGCGTGCAGGTACACGCGCTGTTTGCTTCTATTTTCCCAGTAGAGTGAACCGGACCCTGCTGGCTGGTTGGTGCGATGGTTTTTCTTGAAGGCAGTGCGAGGTGCATGCAGTTTATCGTGCTGCGTGATAGCGCATACATAGTCACATTTCGCACATATATTTGCTGAGCTTTTTTGCTCGCCATCCTGGAATGCAAATGCGAATGCTGCTTATTCGGATGTTACGAGTGGATTTATAGTTGGAAGCGATTCCTGCAAGCTCCTGCAACAATAAAGATGCTGCTGTTTTCGAATAAATTCGAATGGCCTGATTGCAATCCAGTTGGTAACATCACCTCAAATTGAATCCAATCGCTTCGAACGATGCAAATGAAAAATAAATATGAACTGCAAGTTTCTAACAAGCTCTACAACACTAACTGGAAAAGTTTGCTCGTTTCCACATCATTTACCTCAATCAAACAAAGATTCAACATGGAAACCGACAACTTTTACGGGTGTTGTACAAATTGCACATATCGAGTTATTAATAGTTAAAGTTATTATTACCCGGTATTATCATTCAATCTTTAAGTGCTTACAACTGTTTGGAATTGCTATTCACCCTTCTGTTTCAAACCTCGATGCCACCCACCCGATTCCGGGAAAGACAAAGTGCTACCTTCATCTAATCATCTCGCAGCTGAGAGCGCCTGGCACTAAACGCACATACACACTAACTGCAGTGGAACACTTTTCCAACTCTAATAAATTCCCTCCTCAATATTCATAATTCTCCATCGTTTGAGGAGCAAGCCGCACGGAGCTACCTACGACAGACGACGATTCGGGTGAAACTCAACCGTGCGAGCAGCTTTTCCAAGGAATGTCCTAGCCGCCTCCACCGCGGTAAGACTATTTCAACTTTTGCGGATTGCAGCAGCCTTTCTGGATGGAAAGTTTCCTCTGCCGTACGAAGCTCGTCCTGCGGTGATTCCTTGGGACAGTAGATCACCTAACTACTGCACCTACCGGTCCTATAAAGTGAGCCATGAAAGACACACTCGAGAAAGTTGCGAAATCCTCGACGCCGCAAGGACCGGAGAAGTGGCATATCAGCTGGGCCTTTACAGCAGTTAGGTATGGGCCGCCGATGCCACTCTTCCGGTGCAAATGAAATTTATTGAAGTTATTAGAAAGTATAATTTATATTTATCACCGCTTTTCCACATATGGGTGCATTCCTCTCGCACTGGCATGTATTTTTTTGCAATTGTTGTTGTTGTTGTTATCGTACTATTACCTCCGTAAGGATGCTGAAAAGAGCTAGGGTTGATCAAGAATGTTTTTGTGTTGAATGTTTGATAACCTTGATATGTATGGTGAAAGCTTTCAAAGTTCAATTTGTAGGAATTACTGCATATTCCAGAAAAACCATAAAACATACTTAATGATCCCATCAAATAGTGGTACACAGAGCCGACTTAATAGCGTTCAACTGACGATTATGTCTAGCCTACACACTTAGAAATAACTAATTTTACACGTGACAGAATCCACTGTTGACATAAAATATGAGATGTAAACAAACATGTCATGTAATATTAAATGCTCCGAGACTGAAAAATTTGTTGCTCGACGAAAAGTACGTTTGATTGAGCTATATTTCGCGTCTTTTATTACTCAAATTTATGTCAAAATTGACGCTTGTATATGTCACTCTCAGAGCACCTTAATTTACATATTTTTTTCATAGTGTGTAAGTCTCAACTTTTTGCTCTTTACTCTTCACTTTAATTTCTCTTCTGAGGTTAATTACCATGAGCACCCAGGGTCTACCAAAAATGCGATGGTGGAAACTACTAGGACGAAATTTGTGATGTATCCAAGGGAAGTACACTTTAAAAAAATAATTAAAATTATTACCGGTAGAGCCTGCGAAAAGCGATTTCCCTAACACAGATTTCAAAGTTAAATTCAAATGTTTATTCAATCACCGCGTGGTGAGTGGTGATGTTCTCCAGTACACAACGAAAGGCTCCCCACAAGCAGCTAGCTATCAAGGCTACCCTCTACCGGATTTAGTTCCAATCACCGTGTGTGGTGGTGTCCGGTCGTCGGCATCAGCAGTAACAGCAGTGCTTTCGGTGCATGGCGTTGAACATGGTTCTCTAGTACACTAGGAAAGGCTGGCTGCAAGCAGCGAGCTGCAGCCCACATGAGCATCCATAGAAGGAGGAAGAAGTCGCACCGCTATTGATCGGAATCAGTAGCTCTTCGTGAGTCGCTGTGGCCCATCTATGCCAAGCGCGTCATACTAAAGATTATAAACAGAGAGAACCCCGCTCAAATTCCTGTTCCTACACAAAACGCAAGCTCCTGCTGCAGTTAAGAAATAACATTTATTACCACGTACGTAGTCCTACGTCACCATTGCGTACAACCCCATAGGGCTGTCCCTTGTAGTTTTTTTTTGTAGGAGTAGCAATTTCAAATGTGTATGTTTTGTGGAAGCTGACATTTGTGCCTTTGAAGTTTCACGCTAAGGCTTCCTTAGAGTATCACCTTAATGCGACTTCCCGAGCAAAGTAAAATAACAACTTAATATCATCTTGAACACAAGTCTTGTTATTCGATGTTTCATTACGTTGTCGGATGTTGTCGGATAACTAATTTAGTTACCAACCTCGACTTATTTTGCTATCATGAAAGAATATGAAATGATGCAAGCCCGAGCAAAGGACTATATCAAATTGATAACAAGTTCTATTACCCGGTTATCACTTTTAGATAACTGAATATGTGTTCATTATGGTTGAATTAACAGCCAACATAACAAAAATCATAACCAAAAAATTGCTCGTTGGTTATCACAAAAATAACTTATTTTGTTATCATTGCTAATATCTTGATAACAAATTCTGTAATCCATACAAATTTATTCCATAAATTTCAAATCATGTCAGGGATTAAAAGCACTATTTTTTATTGTTTTAATACGAATAATATTTAAAGTTTTGAACTAACCTTGCATCGTTACTAAAAATATAGTGAATTTTTCATGATAACAACTGATTACAAAACTGAGCAAGGCTGAGACTAAATAAGTTATGCGATAACAACTGAAAACAAAATTATATCTGGGATAACAAGACTTGTTATATAGATAATATCGGGTTGTTATTCTACTTTGCTCGGGATGCAAGCCTGAGCAAAGGATTATATCAAATTGATAACAAGTTCTGATACCCGGTTTTCAAGATTTGATTTTTTTTTTTATTAATTACTTTATTTGTACAGGCTCAATCGAATAAACTTTACAGAGCCGAGTTATCATTTTTGTTATACATTATTGATTTCTTATATTTAAAGTTAAAAGAGCTGGACCGGATACTCGCGGTTGTCTCGAGTTTAGTGGGGATTTACAATTTTTTTTGGATGGGAAAAGGGAGAGGGAGGTTTGAAATGTGGTTTACGATACAAATATTTAATTAATCCTAAAACATGAACTAATTTCTATTCATCTTGAAAACAAACATAAAAAAACCCACACGTACAAAATACAAACTAAACACAAGGTTAATAAAACTTACAATCTAATGTTAATATTCTTAAAGTAAACATATATGAGTTTCATAAACTTCAGATCGCGTCTAGCCAAAATATCCCGAACTGGAACATTAGGTTGTCTACCTCGAGCCCGAAGGGAATCGTACAACTCGGATCTGACTCCACGGTGCTCAGCACATGACCAAATAATGTGATCTGCGTCCTGGTAACCTTGTCCACATTCACAGAGATTGCTGTCCTTCAGCCCAACACGGAACAAGTGAGCGTTTAACGAATAGTGATTGGACATGAGGCGAGACATCATACGAATGAAGTCTCGACCCACATCCAACCCCTTGAACCATGAA